CAGTTTTCAAGGTACTCATGTATGTCGTTCCATATTCGGGTACATGGGGAGCTAGTGATAAGTATTTGTATCTATGTATAATGTATAGTAACTGATTTATCCTCTATAATAGTGATGAAGTATATAATGAAGCAATTGTGAATCTGTTTTCTTATTTGAGCATTCGTCTTCTAATTCATATCTATTTTAGAAAGATTATATGATATATGGTTTGTTGTGTATAAAGAAACTATATATTGCATATATTATGTTGTGATTTCATAATATCAGTTATTAGGATATTTTATCTCACCTCTCTATCACCCTCCAAATACTGAAGATACTGCTGCAGAGTGAGCGATGATACGAAGAAAATTTTTGAAGATATACTCTAAGATTAAGGTTACTGTTTTGTATTTTTATTTAGTAATGTAAGCAAGAAAATTTAGAGCCTCATATATGTATTTATGTTTTATATTTAAGAGACGTGATACTTCTGTGACTCTGTTATTATTAATAAAGTTAAGTTATTTTACTTAACTTAAGTTTATATGATTTAAGTATGCTCCAGTCATTATCTTATACGACGGGGTATGGTCCGTAACAACATGACTGATAAGTGTTAGTGATAACGTATTCATATTTTATTTTAGAAGAAAAATTAATTAAATAAATTAGTTTTAATTTTTTTGATAGAGTTTAATTTTAAATTGAATATTTATATTAATGTTGGAATTATATTACTATTTTTTAATACATGATTGATAATTGATAATGAAGGATTTAATTTTTTTTTTATTTTAATAATAATTAATTTTAACAGTTAAAACATGAACCAAATTTAGAACATACATTAAAAATAATGGGCTATTTTTACAATTAAATTATCTATTTTCATTAAAATAAAACCAAATTTTAGTTTGTTTTCATTAAATAAGATTCTTTATTTTGATTTTTCTTTTTTTATTTTTTTAAAAATATTAAAAATAATTATTTAAAAAAATTAATTAACCTTGACTCAATTTACTGCCACAATTATATTTACTTTTCCCCCCATTTTCTTTGTATTTCTTATAGATAACAAATTTTATTTATGAAATCACAAGTTTTAGAAGGTCATATACATGCAACTTACAGAATAATTTACTTTTGATGTGAAAAAAATTGATTGAGAAATATTTATATTAATAAAATAAAAAAATAATGTTAAATTATAATCATCATAAATTAATACTAAAAAGATCAGTCATATGAAAGAAATTCAACCAATAGTCTCCTAAAATGATAGTTTAATTGTGTTTGATGTTACTAACTTTTGCCATTATTTGTGAGTATACATACATATATATACATATATATAATGAAGTTAGAAAAAATTTTCTACCTATAGAAAAAATTTTCTTACCTAAAGAAAAAAAAAAAAAAAATGATCCCTGTAAAAAT